TCTGTGTCTGTATTTGTTTCTCTCTTTCTCTCTTATTTTAAATGTGCAGGGATTGTCTCTGTGACTATCTCTGTTTCTGTCTCTTTCTTTCTCCTCTCCACCTGCCCTCCTCTCCAGGTCTGAGGCCCTTGCTAATTCCTGCTGCCTCAGTAAAAGGGCTTCCAGTACGCGCGCACACACACACACACACACACACACACACACACACACACACACACACACAAGTCCCTCCAATTCCCCACCACATGCTCCGTGGTCATCAGTGAGATGTGCTCACATCTGTTTCACTTTACAATTGATTCTCTGTCAGGGGAGCAAAGCCAAAGCACAGAAAGATTCCTTCAGCCTCTGGGAGCCTCTCATATGAACAGCCTCCTTATGTGCACAAGAAGCTGTTCTTTAGCACCTGACTGTACTATATGAGGACCCGTGTCCAGCCTCCTTCAGCCTGCCTCCCAGCCCAGTGTTTATGAATAAATCCATAGACTGGGTCCTCTCCTAAGGGCCTAATGGAACTCTATAGTCTGTCTCTTCATTCCCATTGCCAACAGTTTAGTCTAGGTTATCATTACTGCCCACCTGGACTATTGTAAAAGTTTCCTTACATATCTCTCTGTCTTCATTCACTCTCTGTTTCCCCTCCAATCAGGCCTTCAAATAACTGAGAGAATAATCCTTCTTACGTACATTTCTGGTCCTGTCATTCTTCTGCTCAAAAACCTTCAGTGGCTCCCTATTACCTCCAAATAAAGAGAAAATTTCTCTCTCTTGCATTCACATCCCTGTGTTATGGTCAAGGCATAGGATCAGAGAACTATTACTTCCCACCTCCTACCTGCCCCCTCTCCCCCACTCCACCCAACCCTTATTTTGAACATGCTGCTTCACTTGATATAATTTAGGACTATTTTAGGCTCCAGGATAAAGTCAGCCAGTTGGTGTCATGGTTTGAGGACATGACCTCCCCCTCTAAAGTCCCACCCTTAGTGTAACACCAGTGGGGGAGGGCAATGTCAGTGCCTGGCACCTAGTAGGTTCTAAATAAATGCTTATTCCCTTCGCTTCCCCCAATTTGGTTTCACCAAATTGTCAAAAAAGACAATGATACAAAAAAGGTTGGTGTCTTAACCCCCTACTAAACTGTGAGCTCTCTCAAGGCAGAGATGGTGGCATATCTAAACGATATCTTTTCTAGCTCTTCCCTCCCAATGCCCTTTAATAGAGGCTGAATTAATTTGTCAAGTGTCCCAGCTCCTCTTCTTGAGCCTCTCTGTTTGTATAAGGACCAGTTGCCCCCACGGTCTTTTAAATGCCCACATTTCCCCTAGCCTGCAGGAGATACCCTGGGAGCCCAGGGTTGTGGATTTTTAAGAGTTAAGAGTTGGCAGGAACTATTGATTGCTGGGATACTTAGAAGAAGCTGGCATTTATAATAGTCACAAGGTCTGGAGTTGGAAGGGATTTTAGCAAGCATCTGTCTATCTCAACCTCCTGACTTTACAAAGGAGGAAACTGAGATCTTGGAAGAGGAAGTAACTACCCAAGGTCACACATGGAGTAAGAGGGAGGGTTGGAACTTGAATCAGATTTTCCAACTTCAAATCCAAGGATCTTTTTACTATATCATTAAGGGTGAAACCCGAGGGGACAGAAAAATGGGGCCTGGGAAGGAATCTCAGCTGGGAGACCAGGCTACTCCTAAGCGCCTCAGTTAGGAATCCAACACAGGCAGCTCCTCACTTAACACTTTACAAATGGCCCCCTTCTACTCTCTCCCATTACATTCCTTCCTCCCCAATCCCCAAAGCTTCAGCTTTTGCAAATAATCTTTTTTTTTTTTTGTGACTCAATTGGGGTTAAGTGACTTGCCCAGAGTCACACAGCTAATGAGTGTTGTGTGTCTGAGGCCGGATTTGAACTCAGGTCCTCTTGACTCCAGGGCTGATTCACTGTGCCACTAGCTGCCCCAGTAATCTTTTCTTTTAAGAATTTTTAGTGAATCTTTAGGTTTGGGAGTAAGGGGAGAACCAGTCAAACAAAAAGTATTAGTCTTAGGGTGATTTCCAGGCTCTCCTGTCCTGTCTTCTACACATTGCAAAATTCATCACTTCCCCATTTGACCCACTGCCTGAAATTCAATTCTATTCAATAAGTATTTATTAAACATGTACAATGGCAGAAGGCATTGTGCTGGGGGCTGGGGATGTGAGGACACTGAAAAGCAGCGCCTGGCCTCCAGAAGCTTACATTCCTGGTGTGGTACAACATTTAAACAGATTTCATATTCGTATGAAATCGAACACAGCACAGTGCCTGACACATAGTAGGCACTTAATAAATATTGATTGATTGGCTGACAGATTAAGTAAATACAATATCATTTGAGGAAGAGGAGAAAGAGTACCACTATTCTCCAGTGAGAGATTCATTTGGATTAAAAGATCTTTTAAGATTCAAACTTCTAGGAGAGTTGAGGGACCATGAGACCTTATTGTGAATTATTTCAGGTTCCTATGAACCTTTGGTTTTCCTCCTTGGCCCCATGGCTTAATCCCTATCTCTTCTTCCTATCCACCCCTTCTTTTGCGCAGGCCCAATAACAGAAGCTGGACTTATTAATACAGAGCCTTAATGGAGTGACTGTGGATGAACCAGGGATGCTGTCTAGCCTGGGAACATGACCACTATTGCTTCCGCTGGGAAGATGGTCTCTGATTTCCCAACGACTGGTTTACATACGAACCTTTGGAATTCAGCTCTGCTAACTTGGAAACGACCCGGACCGTTCTAGGAGGCTTTTTTGGCTACTACGCTACCAATGAAGAGAGCAAACTGCCGCATCCTCAGCAGGGCCCAGAGACAGGGCCTCCTTGAACCCTGAAAGAAAAACAGTTTTTTGTCTCCCTTTTGTGTTCTTGTTATAATTGGAGACCATTTCCTAGGCAGAACCATGGGACTCCCTGCAGAGCTTCACAGAGGCCCTGATTACAAAGTCAAATGCAATTGTTCTAATAGCTGCCTCACTGCCAGTCTCTCTCCTCCCCCAAAAGGGCAGACTCCAACCTGAGGGAGAGGACGTGTGGGCAGGGGGGATGGGGTAGGTAGCTGGGCTGTTATGGCACCTGGGAGGCATTCCTACATAGAAAATGGATGAGGCAGGACAAGTCTTTGTCCCCGGATACCTGCTCCCCGTAACATAAAGGCATAGAACTAACCTACCTGTGGTTCAAACCCAATGGAAAAAGATCTCAGACAATTCTGGGAATTTCCCAGAGAATTTCTAGTGGGACGGTGGAAAGAGCACTGGTTCTAGGGCCAGAAGATCTGAATTCTAATCCTGCCTTTGACATTGTCACTCACCTTCCATGGTCTCAGTTTCCTCAGCTGTAAAATGAAGGGGTTGGGGTTAGATGACCTCTGAGTTCTCTTCCAGCTCTGGAACTATGATGCTAAGTGATATATCCAACTCTGAACTTGAGACCTTTCCCCCTGTACCAGGATCTAACCCCTCCTCACCATTTTTTTTAAACAGATGTAAAGTGAAGAATCTTTTTGTAATCTGAATTATATAATCTGAATTATCACCTTACTGTTTGTTTCATAAGGATTGATGGCAAATTGGTAATCCAATATGGAATAGGGAGTGTGTGATATAATGAAAGATGTATTATAGGTGGTGCAGATAGAGCACTGGGCCTGGAGTCAGGAAGATCTGAGTTCAAATCCAGCCTCAGACATTTACTAGCTGTGTGACCCTGGGCAAATCACTTAACCCCGTTCGCCTCAGTTTCTTCATCTGTAAAATGAGCTGGAGAAGGAAATGGCAAGCCACTCCAGTATCTTTGCCAAGAAAACCCCAAGAGGGATCACAAAGAATCGGATGCTACAGAAAAGATTGAACAAAACAACAACAACAACTTAAAACCCCGCCACGTGGGGCACTCTATGGAGCGGATCCCACAGCTCTGGCTCTGGACATCTTTGGATAACACAGCAGTCCTGATACACAGGGCTTGTAGACTTCAACACAGGTAGATACCTTCTTGTCACATATTTAGCAGTTTCTCACGGACCCTCTAATGTAGAACATAGGGGGACTGGGCAATGTCTGGGATGGACTCGTTTGTCCAGCCCTCCTACTACATGTATAGAAAGGACTTACTGCCGAGGCAACCCTGCAGCTCAGGCAAGGCTTAGCTGCTGAGGGTAAAAGAGGCCAGGGTCAGAGGGCTGCGAGCCTAATGAGTGATGCTATTTAATATGACTTTTTAGAATGAGCTCAAGGGAGGCTCCAGCCCTCTGCCACCCCCTCAGCATGTGGGATGGCCCCCAAGTGCCAAATAGGGGAAGATGCAGACAAGGGTCCTGTGGGATGGGCAGGTGGTCTTGGGAGGCCTTGGACCTGCATCGTTGGAGGGAGTACTCGAGTGGATGAGATCATAGACCCATCTGAGTGTTTGAATACATTTAATTAATAAATAAATGGTAGAAAAACTCCAGTCTGGATTGTAGGGATTGATTTTGTGATAAATCAAGTGTTAACAAACATAAAGGCACAAAGCCTCCTGTGGACAGTAAGTAACACATTTTGTATGCGTGTGTGTGTATGTATGTGTGTGTGTGTGTGTGTGTGTGTGTGTGTGTGTGTGTGCGTGTGTGTGTTTGGCAGTTTGTAAACCAAACCTTGCCGAGGGCATATGCATCCCTTGTCTTGGCTCTGGGTTGCTCCAGGAATCAGCAGTGGCCACAACACCATAGGGGTGCCAATTAACTGCCTTAGACCTCTTTATAGCACTCATCTGCACACAGACAAAACATGTGCTCCCTAGAAATTCATTCATGTTGATTTCCATAGCTTGCCAGCGCTTTGTTATTCCTTAGTTATTGTTTGTATTCCTTAGTGTTATTTCATGGGCTTGGAAAAAAATGAAACCAGATTTCTTTGAAAATGTTTGGGGACCAGAGAAGTTGGGATAGGGGGCAACAAAGCTCTTGCTTACCTTGATGTTGTCTTGCCAACGATGGGCCTTCTGGAATCTCTCTGCAGCATCGGCCAATCTCTGAGAGTGAAAGGACAAAGGCAATGGTCAGAGAGGCACCAACCCTATCCACAATGCTCTCCACAAGATCTTCCCCTGTTGAATGACATGCCCCAGTAATAACAATGATAATAGTTAGCATCTGCTTTACAAATATGGGCTCATTTTATCCTCACAAAAACCGTGGAAGGTAGGTGCTATTATTATCCCCATTTTACTGATGAGGAAATGAGGTAGACAGAGGTTAAGTGACTTGCCCAGGGTCATACAGCTATTCAGTATCTGAGTTAGACCTTTCTGATTCTAGGTCCAGGGCTCTATCCACTGTGCCATCCATGGAATTCTGTGATATTCCTCTTTCTGGAAGATTGTACTGGCTGTATTCTGCCCCACTCCCTTCTTTTTTTCCCTTCCTGGACCCTCACTCCTCCTTCTCCTTTACCTGTCTCCCAAGGTTCTTTATGGGGAATTTACACAGGTGTGAGTGCCCAGGCAAGAAGGGGCTGCCTGACTCTGTGACAAAGCTGGCTAGAATAATCTCCATGGGATTTTGGGCCATACTTCAGGCTGGCTATGATGCACAGCTCTTTCAACCTCCCCCAGTGGTCCCCTTGTTCCTTAAGGCCTTAAGCCTGGAACTCCCCTACCCTCCAGAAGTTTAGGACTACATGTACTCTTGGAACAAGAGTTCCAAGGCTACTCCTGACATTTTCCAATGGAGTTCCATTCCCCATCTCCATCTCTGCTGTAGAGTTCCAACCCCTCCTTCAAGGTTCCACCCACTCCAGGTGTCATGTCTCCCCCCTCCATCCCAAATCCACTGAGCTCTCCAAAAATTTCTTACAACGCTTTGCTCTGGGTTTTTCCTTTCCACTTAAATTCTCCTTTGCATCACAATTTCTTCTTTTATGTTTTTATCTACTTGCAACCCCCAGCAAAAAAGGTGATACATTAATTGAGAGTAGAGTTTATGTCATATCCATCTTTATATTTTTCTTTCTACCTTTAGTCCATAGCACAGGGCCTCATTGAGACTAAAGCTAACTAAATGTTGAGTGGTTGACTGGGGAACACAGCCTTGACCCTGAATTCTCATCTGTTCCTCCTCCTCTATATAACATCACATGCAGCTGTCATAGAGGGTAAGAAGCCATTGTCCTTCTGTTTGAGCAATCTTGTAGTCCAGGTCAGCAAATTACAGGTAGACAGCATGGTCACAGAGTGAAGACTCATCTGGTCCCAGTCTTTCTCTGGTCCTTCCTGGATGCCCCCTTTCCCTCCAAATACTCAGACCTGTAGGGAGGGACCTACCCTCCTCTGAGCCCCTCCAACCTTTATTGTATGTAAAAAATGAAAAACAAACCCAAGAAATCTGGTTCACTGTCTACATTTCATTTTGCCTTCCCTGCCTTGCCATTAGTGTCCTGTCCCCCATATCTCCTACCCCCTCCCACCCCGTGACTAAGTCATTGGGGGTAGCAACACCACTCATGAATGCTTTTCTGGGTGCTCCTACACACCCCAAAAGGCTGTTCCATCCTTGGCCTCCACACTCAGACAGAATCTTTCCTTTGCAGGGCAAAGATCATTGAGCTGGAAGTGAAGAGAGAAACCAAGTATGTACTTATTCACTATGTGTCCATAACTGCTATGACACTCAGTTTCCCCAACTATAAAATGAGGGGGTTGGGTTTGAGGAGGTACCTTTCAGCTATCTCTGATGCCATGACGTCCAGTGTGGTGTGGCAAGAAGACTGGATTGAAGTCAGAAGACTAGAGTTCAGAGGTGTGCTGGAACCAGCTTGAACAGGCTTGAAAGAGCTGACAAGTTTTTCAGGGTGAGCATTTACATTTTGGAAATGTCAAATGCCACAAATTGGGGTTTGATTTATTGTTTTGTTGATTGTCTAGATTTGTGATGGAGTGATGTCAACAATGTTAAGGAAACAGATTAAACATGAAAGTGTGTTGCACTTAGGATTTTTTTTTTCAGAAGGCTAGTTACTAAATGTTTATTAGCACACACCTGCTTGGGGCCAGCCCTAACTTGCTCCTTAGAATGTGATGTTGGACAAGTCAATATCCCTGGGTCTCATTTTCTTCACATATAAAATAAGAGTATTGGATTTGATGGTATTTAAAGTCTCTACTAGCTCTGACACTCTTCAAGTCTATGAGTCACTTTCCCAGCTGTGCTCAAATCAATTCCACAAACATTGACTGATCCCCTATGTGGGTAGAGCCCTGAGCCAAGGACTGGTCCCCAGGGGCCCACAGCCTGGCTGGGGAGACGGGATCTGAATATATGAAAGGTTAAATAATAATAAAGGATTAAAATAGCAGTTCAAGTCCACAGGGGAGATGCCCTGAGGCCTTATGGGTTTGTGATTAATTGCCAAATGTGTCGTTACAGGCAATAAGAACTGAAGGAGCTTAGAGAAGATCCTTAGTGGTCTGAGTAGGTAGGGGGATCTTCCTGGAAGAGGTAGGATTTTATTTGGACCTTGAAAGATGGGTAAAATTTATAGAGATAGAGGGAGAGATGATGACAGGGAGGGAATTACAAGCAGAAGGACAAGAACAAAGATAAGGAATTTGGATAAGGAGGTTGGGGGAGGGGGCAACACAGCACGACGCATGAAAATTTGGTCTGGGAGTCAGGAAGACCTGAGTTCAAGGACCACTTCTGAGAAATAATGGCTCTGTGGCTCTGTATAAGTCATTTTACCTCTTAGTTCCCAAGATTGCTCTCCAGAACTTCAGAAAAGGTGCTGGTCTCCATTGGTAGAATATGTTCTGGCAGTTCCCCAAACCAACGAATGTAGGTGGGGGGGCATTCAGCACCAGGAAAAGGTCTTAGAGACAGATGGGGGAAACTGAGGCACACAGAGGTAGCTGGAGCTGAGGGGATAGGGGAGTTCTAGGAAGGTGGGCAGAGATAAGTCTTCCCCTTAGTCCTGATCTGCACCTACTAACTAAATCCTTGCTTTTTCTTATTACTCATCTTCCTCTAGTTCATGGCTCAGGATGCTTGGGTCCCTTCTGACAAACCCAGGGTTGCTGGCTCACTCCTTATGATCGGAGCTCACATTTGACGGTGATTCAGAATATGCAGGGCACTCATTTATGCTTACTCTTTGCTCTCCCTTAAAATCCACTCCCTCCCCTGGAACATATCCGATTAATTGCCACGTCTTATTGAGTCTAGCATCCGGTACCAGCTCTCTCATCCGTCCCCTTCTTGCCCCTCCTGTGGTTCTGATCCTAGTTCAGGCTCTCATCCCCCTTTGCCAGCTCTATTACAACAGCTTCCAAGGTGGCCTCTTTGTCTCCAGTAGCTCCCCTCTCCAAGGCTGCCAAAGTGATATTTCTATTTATTTATTTTTTAATTTGGTTAGGCAATGGGGTTAAGTGACTTGCCCAGGGTCACACAGCTAGTAAGTGTTATGTGTCTGAGGCTGAATTTGAACTCAGGTCCTCCTGAATCCAGGACCGGTGCTCTATCCACTGCGCCACCTACCTGCCTCCAAACTGATATTTCTAAAGGACAGGGCTTACCCCCTGCTCAGGAAGCTGCAGAGGCTCTCTGCTACTTTCAGGAGAGACTACAAATACCTCCGTTTAGCAATTAAAGAGTTTTACCATCTGGCTCCAAATAGACATACTACATATGATTTCTCATCACTCACCCTTTATCCTAGTTACACTGGTCTACCTCCAGTCTCCAGTACAACCTTTCCTCCACATCTATGCCTCCTGGCCTCCTAGACCAGGTTTAGTACAACCTCTTCTGTGGTTTTCTAGCCTGGTCCTCTCCTTGCTTCTTAGAAACACCGATGCTCACTCCTCTTCATCAAAAAATTTCCTGCTGAAGTATTTGGCGTGGGAATGAAAGCCAGAGTTCATCCTCTTTGTACAAATGGGGAGACTGAGGCACAGGATAGTACAATGATGTGGCTAGTATCATACAGCATTGAGTCCAAGGGAAGAGCTGAGAACTGGAGCTAGGGACACTGGCTTGGGACAAAAGCTCCAAGCCTTTGCCTCTTTTACCTTAAGAGAACAGTGGGACCTCCTGGACATAGCCTCCTCACATGGGAGTGGCTCTGGGCATTGTGGTAGGAAAAATAAAAAAGAAATGAGGGTTATTGATTGTCTAATGAAAAGAGGAGGCAGTTATGGCAGGAGTTCAGAGACTTTTGGTATGGATCAATTCCGTGTTGGTCAGTCAGTTAAATCCAGAGAGCAGACCCAGAGCCCAAAGTCAGAGGAAGCTCCCTTTAGACCCACTCAGTGATGGGGATTAGAGATTCCCAATAGACTGGCCTGTCTTCCCCTCAGAGAAGGGGCATTTAGATGGGAGGGGGTGGTGCTCTCTGAGACTTGGGCCTTGTTTTAATTCAATCCAATAAACATATATTAAGGATCTTCAGGTACAAAGTTTAGAGAAAACATGGCATCCTTAATGGAGCTCACAACTGGTAGGGTGCTAAGACACACCCTAATAATTGATATCACATGATTAATGTGATAATTGATATCACATGATTAATGCATTAGAGAGGAACAAACAAAATGTTCTGTGTGGTCTGAGGGAGAAGAGGTCATTGTGTCCTAAGGTGGTGGTGGAAATCAGGGAAACCTTCGTGAAAAAGGTGGCATTTGAGTTGAGCTCTAAACGGTGGTTTCTAGAGTCCCCGCCCATTCTCAAAGGTTTTTGCCCCTTGAATATATATACATATATATATATATATATATGTATATATATATATTTTTTTTTTTGGCTAGGCAATGGGGTTAAGTGACTTGCCCAGGGTCGCACAGCTAGTGAGTATTATGTGTCTGAGGCTGGATTTGAACTCAGGTTCTCCTGAATCCAGGGCCAGTGCTCTATCCACTGTGTCACCTGGCTGTCCCCCCCTTGAATATTCATGATGACTTCCTCCCACCAAGAGTCCCACCAGGCATATACTCTCCCACCATGGGAGATACCCCACCCCCCATGAATGAACAAATCTTAT